TTGTTTAAAAATGGCCTTGGTGATTTGTTAAGTTGTACAGAGTGAAAAGCATTGTTAAGCTATTAAGTCTTGTTAACTTTTAGAGACTGACCTTTCTCATCACTACTCTTGGAACATATTTACTATACTTAAAATAACTACTGTCTAATTTTTCATATAATAGTCCAAGCATGTGACACTATGAAATATCTGATAGAAATATAGTTCAAAATTAAATTATTGTTTTTATGCTTCCTGCCAGTTTTCCTAGTTTACAAGGCAGCCAATTTCAGAATTGCTTCATTGAAAATTTCTTATGAGTTAACAAGGTGGCTTCCATAGTCACTAGTATGTCAAATGAATATACAAGATTAGAAGAATTATAGGTGTGATTTAGCTTTAAAGAATGAAACTAGAAAAAATGTGTAAGTAGTTTTTAAACATTGATTCCTAATACCTGATAGTGTTTGTGGATCCTTAAAATATTTTAAATGTTTACTTGAGCAGCATTCATCTACTTTAAGCCAATAATAACAATGAGAGCTTGTGAAATCTAACCTTGAATGTTGATTTTGGTACTTGCTGGCTTATTCTTGAAACAGAGAAATGGGATTGAAGGGAACTGAGTACCTCTTGTATATGCTTTTAATTATATTGTCATTTCTCTCAATCTTATAAGCGTCTTATGCATTATAGCCAAAACAAGGAAACAGCCCAAATGTCCATCATCTGATGAATGTGTAAACAAAATGTGACACATCCATACGAAGGAATATTATTCTGCCATAAGAGGAAATACTGCTTTTTGCAACAACATGGATGAATCTTGAAAACATTTTGCCAATCACAAAAGATCACTTATTCTGTAACTAGAGGCCCAGAGCTGTGCACTGGTAGGGTCCCTCGTGGGTGCCGGCCAGGGCTTTTATGCTTTCTGTCCCGCTCCCTGGTGGTCAGCGCACGTCATAGAAAGTGATTGAACTCCCTGTCAGTCAAACTCCTGAGGGATACTTTGCATATTAGGCATATAGAGAAAGTAGATTAGTGGTTGCCAGTACCTGGGACAGGGAGATAGGGAGTGACTGCTAATAGATATGGGGCTTTTTATGGTGAAGATTGATGTGCAAGTTTTTACACATACTAAAAACCACAGAAATGTACACTTTAAATGGGTGAATTGTATAGTGTGTGAATTAAATCTCAATAAAGTTGTATGTTTAAAAAAAGAAAACACCACAAAACGTAATGAAGTGAAATAAGTAGAGGCTGTGACAACTTTCTATCAGAGGTCACAGGGGAACTTTTGGCAACTCTTTTTCCTAACTTCTTCATCCACTCTTTCCTGTATTGAATTCATTGTTCAGCTTCTGTGTCCGAGGTTCTGTTGTAAGTAGTCAGGATGGAACAAGAAATAACATGGGCTAAATCCTGTTTTCATGGAGTTTACTTTCTGGCAGGTCAAGTTTTCTCAGATTACTGCTCTAAATTGATCCTGTAGGGGATATTCAACCACTGTGAGCAAGAGTTGCCTTACTAACCTGAGTGTACCTCAAATTTGAAAGGAAAGGATGTTCAAAGAACTAGGATTGCATCTCATTTGCTATATGATATTAGAAAAGCTTAATAGTAATGTTTATTTTCAGTATCTAGAAAATTAAAATTCCACCATATTGGGTACTTGCTTTGATGAAGTTTTTGAGGATGCAAGGAACACACTCATACTAGGTCAAATAAAGATGGGGCCTTAGGAAAATTAAGGAACCAATTCTCGCATTATTAACAACTAATAGGCCGAAACCGGTTTGGCTCAGTGGATAGAGCATCAGCTATGGACTGAAAGGTCCCGGGTTCGATTCCAGTCAAGGGCATGTACCTTGGTTGCGGGCACATCTCCCATGGGGGTGTGAAAGACACAGCTGATAACGATTCTCCCTTATCAATGTTTCTAACTCTCTATCCCAGGCGTCCTCAAACTTTTTAAAGTGGGGGCCAGATCACAGTCCCTCAGAGAGCTGGAGGGCCGGACTATATGAACTACTAATTCCTACTGTAACACCTCGACTGCGCTCACTGCCCAAAAAACCTGGCAGGCCGGATCAGACTCCTCTGCGGGCCGCATGTGGCCCGCGGGCCGTAGTTTGAAGACCCCTGCTCTATCCCTTTCTCTTACTCTCTGTAAAAAGTCAATAAAATATATTTTTAAAAAAAACTAGTGGCCCAGTGCATGAAATTCCTGCACATTAAAAGGGAATTAGAGGAAATCTTATCTAATAAGAGTAATGTGCAAATTGACCATACCTCTGTGACACCATAACCCACGCCTACCAGCCAATCAGGAGTGAGTATGCAAATTAACCCCAACCAAGATGGCTGCCGCCACTGAGCAAGCAGGAGGCTTGGATTTCCCCGGCAATCGATGAAGCCAAGCTTTCTGCCCGCCCTGGCCTGCCCTAGCCTCCACTCAAGGTTACAAAAGTTTCAATTGAAGATAAATCCCAGATACCAGGGTATCCTCTTGGGTCATCAGGGGACGTGGCTGGCCTGCAAACCACCACAGGCCCCTCGCGCAGGCCACCCTGCACCCCAAGGGAACCATCACCCTGGTCCGGGACACCCTTCAGGGCAAACCAGCTGACCCCACCATGCACCAGGCCTCTATCCTATCTAATAAAAGAGTAATATACAAATTGATTGTCACCGCAACACACAAGATGGCTGCCCCCATGTGGACACAAGATAGCCATCACAAGATGGCCTGCAGGGGAGGAACCAGGCCTGCAAGGGAGGGCAGTTGGGGGTGATCAAGCTGGCAGAGGAGGGGAGTTGGGGGGTACGGGCCTATAAGGAAGGGCAGTTGGGGGGACCCAGGCCTGCAGGGGAGGGCAGTTAGGGGCAATCAGGCTGGCAGGGGAGCAGTTAAGCATCTATCAGGCTGTCAAGGGAGTAATTACAGGGTGATCAGGCTGGCAGGCAGAAGCAGTTAGGGGCAATCAGAAAGGCAGACAGGCAAGCCGTTGGGAGCCAATAGTCCTGGATTGTGAGAGTGATGTCCAACTGCCTGTGTAGGTCTGATCCTACCTGGACGGGCAGTTAGGCATCCCTCAAGGAGTCCCAGATTGGAGAGGGTGCAGGCTGGGCTGAGGGACATCCCCCCCACCCCTCTGCACAAATTTTGTGCACCGGGCCTTTAGTATTTTAATATTGCTATTTTCCCTTTCTCTATAATAGAAGTGTCAGAGATGAAAGAAAATTAGTAAAATGTATATGAAAATCTTCCTCCTGTCAGAGTCTGGGGCATGCCTCAAGATCCAGAGTCAAGTCCCCACCCCATCCACACAAGCCTCAAAATTACGGGAGACCTGGCCAACCCTACCCCTATTGGGTGAGATCCAGACGCAGCCAGCCACACCCTTGTCAAGCCTCACTCGGCAGGGGGCGCAACCTGGGGTCCCCCGGACCAGGGTGGAGGGCGCACCTTGAGGTCCCCTGTCAAGCCCCGCCAGACTTGGTGTAGCTTCAGGTTCCCCATCAAGCCCCACAGCCTCAGGGCGCCCAGCCCGGCACCATGCAGCCTCAGGTCCTTGCTGACCGCCTGTTAAGGCTCCTTATGGGAACCCTGCCTCTGCTGTGTGTTGCCATGAGGGTCAATTTGCATATTACCTCTTTATTATATAAGATATTTCAGGTAGGTGATAGGAAATCATGTATCTTCTCTATACTGTTCTGCCAGATACTAACTCAGCTACTTTTTTTTCTGTTTTGTTTTGTTTGTTTTTAATATATTTTATTGATTTTTTTTTTTACAGAGAGGAAGGGAGAGGGAGAGTTAGTTAGAAACGTCAGTGAGAGAGAAACATCGACCAGCTGCCTCTTGCACACCCCCTACTGGGGATGTGCCCGCAACCAATGTACATGTCCTTGACCAGAATCGAACCTGAGACCTTTCAGTCCACAGACAGACGCTCTACCACTGAGCCAAACCGGTTTCGACTCAGCTACTGTTTTAATTTTTCCAAATTCTGTCTTGGGCTTTATATTTGTACTAGAAGCCCAATGCACAAAGATTTCAGATAAATTTTAAAAGTTGAACCAATAGGATTTGCTTACAGATCTAATGTGTGGAGGAAAAAGAAGAATCCAGGATGGCTCATAGATTTTTGATCTGTGCAACTGGAAGGATAGAATTGCCATATGCTTAAATTTTCTTTGACGTAATTAATAAATCTGTAATGTTGGATAGATCAAACTTTTAAACAGTAGCATAAGGCTTATAAAAATACAAAGGCTTTTAATTTTTTAAAAAAACTTATTCCATATATAAACTATCTGAGATAAGATAGACTACATATGTTTGTTAAAGGTCAAAAGTTCAGTTTTGGACGTAAGTTTGAGATACTTTTTAGACACCTAAGTATGAATTTGTGACTTACTCTTTCCACTTAATATGTTTTGATATATGCAATCTTTAGAAAGAATAAGGCGAACCCATCTATAGAAAGAGCTTGAACTTGTATTGTTCTTGAATATGTAAATGTTTTATAGTGAACATATATCCATGTGTTAGATGACTTTAAAATGAGAAAAGCATGTTAAAAAATATAAGAATTGTTATAGTACCTGATAGAATAATTATTGTGGTCATTGGGAAGAATGAAATTGATCTGTGTATATCACCATGAAAGATCTCTAAAATCTACAAATGAGGTGAAGAATAATATAGATAAGTGTGTCAGAATCATAATAAATCTGTTTATATTTAGAAAGAGAGACTGGATGGACTTATGTTATAGTTTTAAAAATTTGACATATCCATTATTATAGATCTATTAATAATTTCAAAGAGATTGTTAATTGAGAAAATGGATGTGAACTAAAGATAGAAATTTTTCATATAATATGTATATTACAGGTACATACATGACAAAGAAAAGATGAGATGCACATCAGAATGTTAGTGGTGATTTTCTGTGGATGAAATTTGAAATGAATTTTTTAAAATATTTTTTATTTTATTTTTGTAGACTATGAGAAGACAACGAAATGAAGTTGTAGTTGAATTAAGGAAGGTAAGTCTGATTATTATTTGGTACTTGTAAGCATCGTTGTAATAACATTACAGTAGGTATAGAAGATATCAACTGTATGTAAATCTCTTGAGCTGAACATTTCTTTTTCTTTTGAAAACCGAAAGATTTTGACTAAATTTGGCAAGCTTTTGAAGTTGGCAAAATACAACTTGACCACTATCAAAAAACCAGAAACTACTTATCAGATGGTTTTTTCCTTCTGTAATTTTTAGTGGTTTATATAAGTTATAAGTCATGAGTATACTAGTAGTTATACTAAATAATTTATTTAAAATAGCAGTTACACCCTGAAAGGAACTTGTTATTTATAAATTTCATCAACTTTTCAAGTGTTAAAGTAGTTGAAAATGTATTTTTTTAATTTGTCCCAAACATTTTAAGTGAAATTCAAGTGGCCCTTGATTTTTGTAAGGCAATGTTGATTTTTGTCTGATTTTTGAACTGCCCAACTTTTGCTTTGACTTTTTTTTTTTAGGCGGTAAAGAGAAGCTCCCAGATGATGTATAAAATGGTTTAGTACTTTTAAATAAATATGTATGTTTGGTTCTGGCTTAAACTGTACACACTTTTGTAATCAGTTTTTTTGTTCTTTACTTTGTTTTTACATAGTTCACTATTTATTAAAAACGTAATATTTGGGGTTCGGGTCTCAAATTAGAGTTGCTTAAGTGTTTAATTCACAATTTGGTTTTATTTTCTACATTTGCATTTTACTTATAAAAGGCACTTAATATTTCACTTTGTAGACACAGAATACCCTAATCTTTGTATGAAAGTATTTAGCTTTCTTTAAAGTTACTTTTTTTTTTTTTTTTTTTAAGAATAAAAGAGATGAACATCTCTTAAAGAGGAGGAATGTACCACATGAAGATATCTGTGAAGACTCTGATATAGATGGTGATTATAGAGTGGTAAGTTATTGTTATCCTGGTTACTTAAAACTACCAGTGAAATATTTTATATAAATATGGAATTTTAAGGTGATTTTCTAACTTAGTTTTCACTTTAATTTTTTCCAGCAAAATACCTCTCTAGAAGCTATTGTTCAAGTAAGTTGAGTTGTTATTTCCTCTCTTCATTACATTTCTTGGACTTAGCTAATTACTGTTTATGTACATCAAAACTGTTTGTTTGTTTTTATAGAATGCTTCAAGTGATAACCAAGGAATTCAATTAAGTGCAGTTCAAGCTGCTAGGTAAGTTAAATTTTGAGGATATACACTCATTTAACTTTGATGGCAAATAATATAGAATCAGTCATAAACCAACTATTAATTTTCAAATTAGTCTCTGGTTTAGAATATTAAAGTTGGTAGCAATGTTTTAAACTCACAAATACACTGAACTTTAGTGTACTTAATATGTACAGATGATAGGGAAAAGTTGATTTGATGGGTTATTGCTGTAGACCATTGGAAAACATTACTTAAAAGCTTTACCGTGCCGAAACCGGTTTGGCTCAATGGATAGAGCATCGGCTTGGAGACTGAAGGGACCTGGGTTCGATTCTGGTCAAAGGCATGTACCTTGGTTGCGGGCATATCCCCAGTAGGGGGTGTGCAAGAGGCAGCTGTTCAATGACTCTCATCAATGTTTCTAGCTCTATCTCTCTCCCTTCCTCTCTGTACAAAATCAATTAAAAAAAAAAAAAAAAAAAGCTTTACCTTTTACTGATTATAGGTTTAATTTAATAAAAACTTAGATTGTTCAGATCCTGCCCATGTAGGTAATTCTTCTCATAGTCCTCAGACTGATCAAATAACAAATTAAGTTATAAGCTTAATGCAGCAGTATATAGGCAAGAAGACATTAAGATTTAGAACTACAAAGACTCCTAGTCTCTTTCCAGTAAGAATACTAAAATATTTCTGTTGTAAGACCTGTGCTCTCATAGTTAATAATTTGGGGAAGATGTGGTTATATCATAGTGTTTGCTTTGTATATCTATAGACATAAAAGCCTAAGTGACTGTTAAAACTGGACAACCAGCCTGTGGCTGTGATGTGCACTGACCACCCTGGGATCAGTGTGCTCCCACAGCCAACTTCCCATGGTCCCTCCTCAGCTAGCTAAACTCCTGCAGTCCCTCCTCCTCCCCCAACCCCCACCCCTCAATCCGCCCTGATAGGGATTGGATGAGATGACTCCCATTGGCTGGGAGGAACCTCACCCATGCACGAATTCATTAGTAGTAGGTCAGAGTTAAGCAAGAAATTGATCCTACTTTGAGAATTTTAAAGTGGAAAAAGGTTTCATAGATCCATCCAATATCTTACTTTGTGCATAAAACCCTTTGTAGACTTTTTCTACTTTGTAATACTTTATTTTTAATTTTTACTTATTGATATTAAAGAAAGAGAGGAAAAGAACACACACATTGACTTGTTACACTTATTTATGTATTCATTATATGCTTCTTGTATGTGCCTTGACCAGAGATTGAACCCAAAACCTTGGCATTTAGGAACAACATGCTAACCAACTGACCTATCCAGCCAGGATCTTTTATATTCACTTTAAATTACCTAGAACAGATGGCAAAATTATACAAATACAGTGTGTAGCCCACTACAGGTAACAGAACTTCTTAGAGAGGACTTAGTTTTTTAGGAAGAAAATTAGAGATTTTCACACCTCAAAACATAAAATTAATGTTTAAAGGAAGAATGATTAAGAAATTGATACATTATGCTCACCATTGTCTGAATTGATTATTTTATAGTCTCAATATGAGTTCTATAAGATAATGGCAGGGATTCTCAATCTCCCTAAGAGATCCTGAGACAACTTCAAGGGGTATACAAGATCAAGCCTATTTTCACAATAATTCTAAGACTTTGTTTGCCTCTTTTCACTGTGTTAACATTTACATTGATATTGCAAGGGCAACTGAGTAAAACTGCTGGTACCTTAGCACAGATCAAGACTGGCATAAAATTGATTTTATGACTATTTTTCAGATATTATTTGTACTATTATGCAAAGATAAAAGGCAGTTTCTGCTAAAGAATGTCTTCAATGAGCCCAGGCAGTGAGCATCTACTTATGAACCAGTAGGTCACAGTTCAATTCCCAAACAGGGCATATGCCCAGGTTGCAGGCTCAACCTACAGTAGGGCGGCATACAGAAGGCAGCGGATCAGTGACTCACCATTGGTGTTTCTATTTCTCCCACTTTCCCCTTTTCTCTCTGAATCAATCTATCTATCTTTATATTTATTTATTTATTTTTTTAGAGAATGTCTTCAATGAAGTAGAATTTGAACTAAGAATGACTGGGTTATTTTCTACTTTGTGCTATGTGCCATGTGTTATGGAAAATACTGCATGTGGCATAATTTTTGCCCTATAAGAGGTTGGGAGCCTAATTAGGAAGGCGAAACTAAGTGTATGCTACGTAAATATGCTTTTAGTAATTCAGAGAATTTAGAATTCAGAGAGGATATTATGAAAACATAGAACTTAAAATGGACTTTGTTTACATAGGTTTTAAATAGACAGAAAAGGGCATTCCAAGTGCAGAGAAGAGGAAAAAGGCTTGGAAATGCAATAGAAGTGGTGGGACAGAGAACTGAGCTTAGGAGTTTACATTAAGTAGCCATCATTTGGTATATATACAGGGGGATGATCTCAGTAAGCTTTCTTAAAACACTGCATTTATATAGTAGTGCATAGTATTCAAATGGGTAAAGATTTGGGTTAGGACAAATTGAGCACTTAAATCAGCTAAACCTACAGTCTATCTCATGTGTAAATAAACACCAAGTTTTGTTGTTTTACCCTCTAAGCTTCGTAAGAGCAAGGATGTGTCTGTCTTGTTCACCTTAGTATCTCCAGTATCTCTTTGGGTATTTTTTTTTTTAAATAAATTTTTATTGTTCAGATTATTACAAATGTGATCCTCTTTCCCCCCTCAATTGCTCCCCTTCACCAGGTTCCCACCCCACCCTCTGTCCTTTCCCCATCCCCCATTGTCCTCATCCATAGGTGCACAGTTTTTGTTCAGTCTCTTCCCGCACCCCACTCCCCTTTTCCCTGAGAATTGTCAGTCCACTCCCCTTCCATACCTCTGATTCTATTATATTCACCAGTTAATATTATTCATCAGATTTTTAAATTCCCTTGGTTTTTAGATTCACTTGTTGATAGCTACGTATTTGTTGATCATAATTTTTATCTTTATCTTCTTCCTCTTCTGAAAGAACCCCCTTCAGCAATTCATATAATTCTGGTTTGGTGGTGATGAATTCTTTTAGCTTTTTTTTATTTGTGAAGCTCTTTATCTGTCCTTTGATTCTGAGTGATAGCTTTGCTGGGTAGATTATTTTTGGCTGTAGGTTCTTGTTGTTCATCACCTTGAATATTTCTTGCCATTCCTGTCTGGCCTGCATGGTTTCTGTTGAGAAATCAGCTGACAATCTTATGGGTGCTCCTTTATAGGTCACTACCTGCTTTTCTCTTGCTGCTTTTAATATTCTCTCTTTGTCTTTTGCTCTTGGAATTTTAATTATGATATGTCTTGGTGTGGTCCTCCTTGGATTCCTTTTGTTTGGGATTCTGCGGGCTTCCTGGACTTGTAAGTATTTCTTTCCCCAGGTGGGGGAAGTTTTCTGTCACTATTTCTTCTAGTACTCTTTCGGTATCTTGCTCTCTCTCTTCTGGAATCCCCATAATTCTGATGTTGGTTCGCTTGAAATTGTCCCAGAGGTTTCTTACACTATCTTCAACTTTCTGGATTCTCTTATCTTCTCCCTTCTGCAGAGGAGTGTCCTCTGGCTCTTTGTGTTCTAAAACTTTGTCTTGATTCTTGCTATCTTCCAGTCTGTTTTTAGGACTTTGTATAATATTTTTTATTTCAGACAATGTTTTCTTCATTTCTTGTTGATCCCTTATTATTTCTGGTTGCTCCCTTTTCATATCCTCATAAGTCTCATTTATTTTATCGGCCTTTTTTAGGATATTGTTGAATAACCTTATAACTGTAGTTTTGAACTCAATGTCCAATCTTTTCTTTTCCTCCATCTCCTTCCTTTGTGTCCTCCTTCTTGTCTGCATTTTAGTTGTTTCCCTGATTTGATGGAATAGCTTTGTGTGCTAGGTGTTCTGGTAGAGCCCAGTAGCACAGCCTTCCCAGTTACCTGCAGTGGACAGTCTTGGTGTAGCCCTTTGTGGGCTGTGTGTGCAGTCTTGTTGTTAAGCCTTGCTTATTGTTGGTATCACTGGGAAGCGTTGATCTCCAAGCCAATTGGCTGTGAGAATCAGCAGTGTCTCAGCTAGGAGGGTTTCTGTACTCTGCTTGAATAGGGTGGGGTCTCAGGGTGGCGCAGACAATCTTTGGTTCCCTGTCAGTCTCGCCTTAGAAAAGTCCTGTTCGTGGAGAGTTTTGGAAGATTGGTTGTAGGCGCGCGCGCGCGCGCGCACCTCTTTGGTAAAGGTGCAGACAAGCTTTGGATTCCTGCAAGTCCCTCCTTAGAGAAAGCCAGCCTCTGGGAGAGCTTCTGTGCTCAGCCACAGGTAGGGCGGAGTCTCAGGTTGGTGCAGACAAACTTTGTTTTCCCTTCGGCTCCTCCCCAAGTCCCGCAGTAATGGCCTCTGGCTTCACACACCTCCAAGAGATCTCTGCCCACTGCCTGACAGTCTGGCCTCTCCCTGTCTGGGGCCGTTTATCAGAGCAATAGGATGATTCTGTTTTCCTCTCGGACAAGAAAGCCAGCCACGTTAGCTGTTTGCCCTCTCCAAGCCAGGAGTAAGCCAGTAGCGAACCCAGCCCGGCCCGCCCTCTCTGCGTGCAGGGAGTAAGCCAGCAGCAATCTCCGTCCGGCCCTTCCTCTCAGCACCGGGATTAAGCCAGCGCCTTTTCGCGCACACAGTTCTCCGTACCTTCACAGTTCCTGAGGTTCAGCGTGCCTTCTCTCTCCTTCCCAGATGGCAGAGCCTCCTCTCAGCCAGCCGTCTGGCGCTTCAGGGCAATGCCTCCCCTGTTTTTCAGTTCTAAATTCAAATTTGTTGTGGTAGGCTGCATTCGGGTGTCTACCCTATGCCGCCATCTTGGTTTCTCTCTCTTTGGGTATTTTTCTTGTATTGCTATACTTACTTCACTTTAGTTACTTTGATGAGAAGTTAGATCTTACATGACATTTCATTTGGTGTATGCAGTAAGATGAAATATTAGACACTAATATCAGCTATAAACTTGTACCAGCAATCTACATGTTTTTGTTTTTTATCTTCTATTATGTCATGGTTTGAATATTCTGTGGTATTTTGGTGACTTTCCTTGGCAAGGTCAAGGACATGGTGAAGGAGTCTGCCCACTTTTTTTTCTCTGACCTCAAAATTGCAAAGTTAGCCCTGACTAGTTTGGCTCAGTGGCTAGAGAGTTGGCCTGCAGACTGAAGGGTCCCAGGTTCAATTCCAATCAGGGACATGTGCCTTGGTTGTGGGCACATTTCCAGTGGGGGGTGTGCAGGAAGCAGCTGATTGATTTTTCTCTCTCATTGATGTTTTCAACTCTTTATCCCTTCCCTTACTCTCTTTAAAAAAGAAAAGAAAAAAAAAAAACAATAAAAATATATTCTAAAAATAAAAAAAATTGCCAAGGTAATACTTAAAACATCTAGTTGTCATATTTAGGATTTTATTATGGGAATAATATTACTATACTAATAAAAGGTAAAGTGGTTATGACTACCATTTTTCCTAATAATAATTTATATATTTATGAATTAATATTCTAATACAGAAACGGTTGCATTATAAATTTTTAAAGTAACTTTCAGAGCAAGTATTTGTACCAGATAATCACATTTACTGAAATCAATATCAAATATGAACTTTAATTTTGTGTGATTAAATTTCACGAATATGTACATCTCTTATAGGAAGCTTTTGTCCAGTGATCGAAATCCACCAATTGATGACTTAATAAAATCTGGAATATTGCCTATTTTAGTCCATTGTCTTGAAAGAGATGACAAGTAAGTACATTATTTTAACAAATAATTTAGGATGTATTCTTTACAGAAGATAAGATTTCCTAGTAATTAGGAAATTACTAGTTGATCTTTAAAGAAAAGGGTTATGAGATGGAGTTGAAAAGCCAACGTGAAAAACAATGCAAGGTATTTATACCAAGAGATGAAGGTAGAGGCCAAAGAAGAATTTGAAAATGATGCATACAACTTTTAAGCTTTGAAAATTGGCAAGAAATAGTTTGGCCAGATAGGTCCTTGAGAACACTCTTTGTGTTGTAATGTGTTGGTATCTTAGTAAGAAATTCTTACTAAGAAATAAAATCATGTGAGTAGGTTATATGCTTTTTATACTGAAGGGAAATTTTAAATAGAGATTTAAAAGAAGTTCTAGATGCATAGACACCTTTTAAACAAAATATTCAATGCTTTTATAATGCTCTATAAGGGAGGAATGGTTGATTGATATTTGATACATACAATAATTCTTTTTTAATTATTTGGTTTTTTTGTAGTCCTTCTTTACAGTTTGAAGCTGCATGGGCTTTGACAAATATTGCATCTGGAACCTCTGAACAAACTCAAGCAGTAGTTCAATCCAGTAAGTTGATTTTTAACAGACAAAATAAGTAGTGACTCTATTAATAAGAATAGAGCTATGTTACCTAATAATAGACAAATGTGTAAATTGACCATATCTCTGCTAAGCTCACAGCCAAAGAGTGAGTATGCAAATTAACCCACCAAAAATGGCAGTTCATTTGCATACACAGGCGCCAAGCTACTGGGGGCCGCAGGAATTGTCACCATGGCGGTGACACAGGTGTTCTGCCCCACCCCCCTGTCTCCCAAGGCCTCTGTGCAGCATGGGAAGGCAGGGCTAGAGCCAAAAGAGGTGGCTCAATGGCTGGGCCAGAGTGGAAAGGTGGTGCCAGCAGCCAGGGAAAGGAAGGCCCATTCTAGCACGAAGCTTGGTGCATCAGGCTTCTAGTCCTATATAATAAAAGCCCAGTATGCTAATTGTCCTACCATTTGTTTGACTTGTTGCTATGATGAGCACTGACCACCAGGGTGCAGACACCAACCAGTAGGTTAGCTTGCTGCTGGGGTCCAGTATGGTTGATTAGGACTGGGCAGGATGGGCCAGACATACCCTGAAGCCCTCCCATGGTCCCTCCCCAGCCCTGATCCCCACAAGCCAGGTTGAGGGACCCCACCAGTGAATGAATCTGTGCACCAGGCCTCTAAAATATATTATAAAATAACTAGAGGCCCCGTGCACGAAATTGATACATGGGGGACTGGGGTATGTCCCTCAGCCCAGCCTACGCCCTCTCCAATCTGGTACCCCTCAAGGGATTGCCCATTTAGGCCTGATCCCACTGGACCTAAATCCAGGACTGCTAGCTCCCAATCATTTGCCTGCCTGATTGACCCCAACTGCTTCTGCCTGCCAGTCTGATCACCCCCTAGCCACTCCCCTGCCGGCCTGATGGATGCCTAACTGCTCCCCTGCTGGCCAAGTTGCCCCTAACTGCCCTCCCCTGCAGGCCTGGTCACCCCTAACTGCCCTCCCCTGCAGGCCTTCCCCCCCCCCTCCCAACTGCTCTCCCCTGCAGGCCTGATCACCTACAGCTGCTCTCCTTTGCAGACCTGATCCCTCTCAACTGCCCTCCTCTGCTGGCCTGGTCACCCTTAACTGCCCTCCCCTACTGGCCATCTTGTGTTTACATTGGGGCAGCCATCTTTGACCACATGGGGGTGGCCATTTTGTGTATTGAAGTTGTGGTCTATTTGCATAGTACCTCTTTATTATATAGGATTATTATATAGGATAGCTCTTCAGTAATACTTAAGATATTTGAAGTAGACCAACTTAAGTATGTAACTTTGATGTCTTGTACCAGTAAACAATCATTTGTTCAATGCACTATTCTGTTCAGATACAAACCTTTCTATATGTTTCCCACCCTTGTTATTAAGCAACAGAGTCAGTATCTGAATCAAAGTCTCGTGGCACAGGAATTGCTGGTCTGTCTAAAGTAGGGGTGTCGAACTCAATCAGAGAAGGGGCCAAAATCTAAAATCCAGCCTAAATCGCGGGCCGAATGGTTTACTGAACAGTCATAAACTGTCATTGTGATGGAACCGCAGCGGAGTGCAGTGATGACAGCGCGGTGCAGGCCACATTGCAAGGCCTGGCGGGACGGATTTGGCCCGCGGGCCTTGTGTTTGACACATGTGGTCTAAAGACTCGTGATATAATTCATAAGTTACCCTAACAATTGGACTCTTGTTTTTTTAATTTGAAGATAATGTTAATCTATAAGGAATTAACCTTAAAATTGGAATTAAATCCAAGTTTAATTGTGAATGAAATCTTACCAGCTTAATTTTATATTTGTCTGCATGTTAAAACTGCCCTTTTAATGCTAACTAAGCAATCTGCTGGTCAAAATTTTCCGCTGCTGCTATTATAATGAAAATCATGTAATAAAAGTATATTTTAGATAAGTTTCTTTTGAGGTTTTAGGGGGGGGAAAAAGATTGATTTTTGGTTTAAATTATAGTATCTTCAACCGTTTCCCAATTTTATTGGAAATATAATTGACGTATAACTGTTTAGACTTAACTGCTCTTATGATTTCCTTCTTCAGATGCTGTGCCACTTTTCCTAAGGCTTCTTCATTCACCCCATCAAAATGTCTGTGAGCAAGCAGTGTGGGCATTGGGAAATATCATAGGTTTGTCTTAAATATATTATAATCCAGCCATTGTTATCATATACTATGTAATGAAAATAACATTAGTAATTGAAAAGAAAAAATAGTTGGTCTGGATCAGTATTAATTTTTATGAAATAGTTTACAGAAATTAAAGCTATTTAAGTATAAACTGATAGTAAACAAAATGAATATTTTTGCTGCTTATGAAGACATATTTTGGCATGTTAGTCAATATTTAGTTATTTGAAAATTATGAAATATGTATATAATTTAGATCTTTTTCTGCTCCTTTATTATGTTGTGGTCCATTTTCTTAGCTCTCCCTTCTGTCATAGAAAGTATGTAATAAAAAGGAATAAGCAAAACTTAAAATTTTTTCTTCATGATATCAGTTTTAAGAGTTTTCAATTAAAATTTTTATATCTCTTGTACTAGGTGTACCAGTTAATGTGGATTTTTTTTCAATAGATGGAGTTATACATATGTTGAAATATATGCATTTTGATGTGTATGCTATTTTGTTTTATTGACGACAAGCTTCAAAACTTGATATGTCAAATCTGCTGAAAGTGTTAACATCATATATATTTTTACGCTTAAAAATGGCAAATTTCGTGCCAAAAAGAAAGCATTTGTGGAAAGTTTTAACGCATTATTTTGAAGAAAAAAATTATTGTATATTTTGGGAAGCTTATGGTGAACATGCTCCATCTCAAAATACTTATGAATACTGATTTAAATGCTTTAAAATTGATGTTTTCGATGTGAAAGACAAAAGAATGTCCAGGTCAACCGAAAAAGTTTGAAGACCAACAATTGCAAGCATTATTGGATGAAGATGCATGTCAAACTCAAAAACAACTTGCAGAAAAATTAAATGTTGCACAGCAAACAATTTCTGATCGTTTACAAGCAATAGGAAAGATTTTAAAGGAAGGAAAATGGGTGCTACATCAACTGAACGAAAGACAAATGAAAAACCGAAAAGTCATCGGGAAAATGTTCCTTCAATGGCATAAAAGAAAGTCTTTTTTTGCATGGAATTATGACTGGTGATAAAAAGTAGGTTTATTTTGAGAATCCCAAATGCACGAAATTATGGGTTGATCCAGGTCAACCGTCTACATCTACTGCAAAGCCATATCACTTTGGAAAGAAGACAATGCTCTGCATTTGGTGAGATCAGGAAGGTATGGTGTATTATGAGCTTCTAAAACCAGGTGAAACCGTTAATATTGATCATTACCAATAGCAAATAATCAATTTTAACCACGCTTTGATCGTAAAACAACAAGACTGTGCCAGAAGACACGGCAGAGTAATTTTGCTTCATGATGATGCACCACCACACACTTCAAACTCAGTTAAAGACGCATTAAAAGATCTTGCCTGGGAAGTATTAACCCACTCGCTGTATTCACCAGACCTTGCTCCTTCAGATTACCACTTGTTCCTATTGATGGCACATGCACTTTCTGAGCAGCACTTCAAAACGTATGAAGAAGTGAAAAATTGGGTCTCTGAATGGTTTGCCTCCCAACGTTCTATTGGGAGGCTATCCATAAATTACCTGAAGGATGCGGGAAGTATGTAGCTAATAGTGATGGACATTACTTCGGATAAAGCACTTTTGATGTTTCTCTTGAAATTATTGTTTTCTTTGATTATAAAATCCGCCTTTATTAACTGGTACACCTAGTAGATTTTAGTACATTATAATAATGTTATCTACTCTCATAATGAAATCAGTATATAGGAGATAATCTAGAGCTTATAGACCAAGGGCCATTTGGACATTTATAACATCATTCACAGGCTATACAGAATTATCAACTTAAAAATTAACTTGTTATATTTGGTCAAACATTTAATTAACTCACCCCTAATGCCTAGGCAGGGCCAGACCAAATGATGTCATGGTCCAGTGCCAGACATTCTCCACTCCTGTTATGGACGGTCTCATTAAATGTTGGACATGATTATCATACTTTCAGGTTTATTCTAATAAATAATGTAGGAAAAATAATTAGACAATTCTGATGCTCAAAGATTGTTTTTTAACTTGATCCTACACTTCACTCAAATTCAAAAACCTATCATGGAGTATAATTTATAGTTATTACTCTCACTGCTTTGATATTGGATCATCAGTATAAATTGTACAAATATTTCCTCTCCAGTAGTATTGATGTATATCTTTTTATTACATGAAAGTTTGTAAACTGAGATTGCCATTGAAAGAAAAGATAGAAGCAACCATTCTCTGTTCGAAAAGTATTTTATGGTACCCTTAGGCTTCTAACGTTCAGATAGCATAAAAACGTTTTATAGGTGGAACAGCTTATAACCCTGAATATGTAATATTTTTTTCATAAAAAAATTTAGTATCTTATATTGCTTCTCTTGGCTCAAAGACCTAAATATGAGAGTTTGGTTATTATTATCTAGAACTTTTATATAAAACTAAATAGTACAACTAATTAAAATGCAGCATATTGAACTTAGTGCTTTATTTTTTGAATTGTTTATTGTCAACTTATTTTATTGAATTACTAAATCCTTCTTACAGGTGATGGGCCACAGTGTAGAGATTATGTCATAAGTCTTGGAGTTGTGAAACCTTTACTTTCCTTCATAAGTCCATCTATTCCTATAACATTCTTAAGAAATGTTACTTGGGTTATGGTCAACTTATGTCGGCACAAAGACCCACCACCCCCAATGGAAACCATTCAGGAGGTAAACAAGTGCTTTCTGTTTTAATTTTCAAACTGAGGTAAATATTATGTGTATGTTTTTATCTATCTGTATTTTTAAATTTGTGTATTTTTCTCTTCAGATTCTTCCAGCTCTTTGTGTTTTAATTCATCACACAGATGTAAATGTGAGTAAATGCTTCATATATTTTTATGTGTGTGTATGGATACATGTGAGATAGGGAAGAAAATGTTACATTGGACATCATGTCAGTTTATTCTATCAGATTTTTCCATTCAAGAGTTAAAATACATAATTTGCCATTTTTATACTCTGTGTTTACTTACATCACTAAATTTAATTTTAGTAAAAAAAAAATCAAGACTAATTGTTATTTGGTCTCAGAAATCAAGTATATACATATGTATATTAGTGTTATAAAAGTTACATTGGAAGTTCTTCAATTTGTTCATAAGCTTTTTTTTTTTTAATATATTTTATTGATTTTTACAGAGAGGAAGGGAGAGAGATAGAGAGCTATTATAGAAACGTCGATGAGAGAGAAACATCGATCAGCTGCCTCTTGCACACCCCCTGCTGGGGATGTGCCCGCAACTAACGTACATGCCCCTGACCGGAATCGAACCGGGGACCCTTCAGTCCGCAGACCGACGCTCTACCACTGAGCCAAACCGGTTTCGGCATGTTCATGAGCTTTTTATGGAATCTCATTTTGATAGCTTGACCAATAAGAGAATACATATGCCCAATTTTTAAAAATATTTTTATTGATTTCAGAGAGGAAGGGAGAGGGAGAGAGAGATAGAAACATCAGTGATGAGAAAGAATCATTGATTGGCTGCTTCCTGCACACCCCCTACTGGGGATTGAGCCTACTGGGGATACATGCCCTTATCAGAATCGAACCCGGGACCCTTCAGTCCTTAGGCCAATGCTCTAACCACTGAACCAAACTAGCTAGGGCTGTTTTTGTTTTTTGAAAGATAAAAAGAGCCCTAGCCGGTTTGGCTCAGGGGATAGAGCATTGGCCTGCAGCCTGAAGGGTCCCGGATTCTATTCCAGTCAAGGACATGTATCTCAGTTGCAGGCTCAATCCCTGGACTGCATGTCAATGTTTTGTTTTTTTTTCTCTGTCTCCCCCCCTCTTTTCCACTCTCTCTAAAAATCAAGGGAAAAAATATATTCAGGTGAAAATTAACAACAAAAAACAACAGAAACAAAAACTTGAAAGAGGATCTAAATAAGTCGTTAATAAATCATTAAACAAGTTTTTTAAGTTTAAAAGAAAAATGTTTGTGCCTTTTTGCATGACTTTGTTTTCCTCTATACATATGCCAAATCGTGGACATTCTTTGCTCTTCAATTTTATTTTTACTCTTTCTCCACTTACAGTGATCTTGGAAATGGTTTCACTTGGTATAGAGATAACTTGAAATCCAGACAATAAGGAAAAAAATCAGTGCAGACTAGATTTTAAACATAACAGATATATCTTACTCATTCTTATTAATACAGATGTTAAAGGAAAAAGCAACTCAGGAAGTATGAATGAGGTGGAGAACAGTCCTAACTGCTGATAAAGCCAGTGTAGCTTTCATTGTGTTAGAAAAGCTAGCATTGTATGTAATAGATCAAGGAAATCATGTGGATTAAATGCATAGTAACAGTCAGGAAATTGTGTGGTTCTTTAAAAACACAGGTATGCCCTAACCGGTTTGGCTCAGTGGATTGGGCTCAGTGGCATGACGGGTCCCAAGTTCGATTCCGATCAAGGGCATGTACCTTGGTTGTGAACACATCCCTAGTAGGGGCTGTGCAGGAGGCAGCTGATTGATATTTCTCTCTCATCGATGTTTCTAACTCTCCCTCTCCCTTCCTCTCTGTAAAAAATAAAAATAAAAATAAAAAATATATTTTTTTTAATTTTTAAAAAATTGTTTAAAAAATAAATACACAGGTATGATGTATACTGCATCAAGCAGTAACATAATGTACAAAACTCATTAGATGAATATGATCTTTTTATATGTTTTTTTTTTAGCTCCACATAGTTTAGGATTCTTTTTAAGTATATTTTTATTGATTTGAGAGGGAGAGAAAAATAGAAACATCAATGAAAGAGAAACATCAATCCTTCGGCTGCCTTCTGCACACCTCCCACTGGGGATCAAGCTTGAAACCCAGGCATGTGCCTTTCAGGGAGTCGAACCAATGACCCCTTCGTGTATGGGTTGATACTCAACCATTGAGCTACATTGGTTAGACACTATTGGGCCTTTTACAAAAATCAATCTAAATTTTATATACAGTCATGCACAATTAACTTGAAATATTTGCTTATAAAAAAATTTTGGCCAAAACAGGTTTGGCTCAGTGGATAGAGCGTCAGCCTGCGGACTGAAAGGTCCTGTGTTCTATTCGGGTCAAGGGCATGTACCTTGGTTGCGGGCACATCCTCAGTAGCAGGTGTGCAAGAGGCAGCTGATTGATGTTTCTCTCTCATCGATGTTTCTAACTCTCTATCCCTCTCTCTCTTCCTCTCTATAAAATATCAATAAAATATTTAAAAAGGAAAAATTCGGCCCTAGCTTTCTGTCTTTCTCTTCCTCTCCCTACTATCTCTCTAAAATTTTGGCCATTAATGAGAGCATCAGCCCTAGGGATTGAGAGTTTGATTCCAGTCAAGGGCAGGTACCTCAGTTGAGGCTTGATCTCTGGCACTGATTGGAGCACATTTGGGAGGCAACCAATCAATGTGTCTCTTTCATAGCGTGTTTCTCTGTTTCTCTCTCCCCTCCCACTCTCTCTAAAAACCAACGGGGGTATAGGGGAAGAGATATTCTCAGCTGAGGATTAATAAAACAAAAATAAACAAATTTTAGCATATGTTGGTACTCCAGGAAAAAAAAAGTTACATTTGTAAGTTGAAGTTTCATTGTTTCACATATTTTAATACCACTTTATGTGTATGAATTTTCTCATTTGGTATCTTCTTTTTATATTAAAAATATCCATAGAACTTCTTAAATTCCTGAAAGGAGCAATAGCAAAGTGATGTTTCCTCCTCCTAGGAGCTTCTGGATGTTTTAAACAACATTGCTTTAGAATTTAAAAGGTTTCTAACTTCTCTGGCATGTCTTTTGACAGAGTCCATATTTAGAAAGGCTTTGAAAGCAAAGTTAAGTAGTTTTGGTAGCTTGTGTAAATTATGTTTTTTGGGTGTTTTTTTTGTTTTGTTTTGTTTTTTTACCTAGAATGTATGTTTGTTTTTTTTAAAACATTTACTACGGTGTCCTTGTATTTATCCCTCAGTCTGGGCATTTGGAAAGAGAATTTCTTTTTTTCTCCTATTTCATGTGCTATGTAGTGTGTTTTTATCCTAATGAATTAAGGTTAGATACTAAATTGTGATAGATTCTTAATTAACCTAAACATTATGAATATGGCTTAAAGATGTACATGCTTAATACAAATATTCATAAATGCTAATATTTAGTATAATAAATTCCAATGAGTTGAGATGAGAGAAAAAGACATTTATAGAACAATTGTAAATTAGTCTGAATGGTTAAATTATTAAAATGAGAAGATACTTAAAGGCAATTTAAATTTTCATTTTCATTAGATACTGGTAGATACGGTCTGGGCCCTCTCTTACCTTACTGATGCTGGCAATGAACAGATACAGATGGTAATAGACTCTGGAATAGTCCCTCATTTGGTTCCTCTGCTCAGCCACCAGGAAGTGAAAGTTCAGGTGAGTTTGTTGTTGATAAAAGTATAAGTTTTTCTTACCCACTAATTGCTTAAGCATGACTTCAGAAATGGACAATGAAATCTAATCAGGAGTCCAAAAATAAGCCCATACATATATGATCAATTGATTTTTTGACACAAGGGTGTCAAGAAAATCCAATGAGCAAATAAAATTAATTCAATAAATGATGGTGAAACTACTAGATATTCCATGTGAAAGAATTAAGTTGAACCCCTATTTTATACCATATTTTAAAAATAGCTTAAAATCGATCAAATACCTAAGTGTAAGAGCTAAAAGTATAAACTTTTTATTTATTTATTTATTTTTGAGGTATTAAACTTTTATTTTTTCATTTTTTTATTTTTTTAGTAAGTTTTTATTGTTCATATTATTACAAATGTTCCTTCCCCCACCCCCCCACCATTGCTCTCCTTCACCAGGTTCCCACCCCACCCTCTGCCCTTTCCCCTCTCCCCATTGTCCTCATCCATAGGTGCACAGTTTATGTTCAGTCTCTTCCCACGCCCCCCTCTCCCCTTTTCCCCAAGAATCGTCAGTTCACTCCCCTTCCATACCTCTGATTCTATTATATTCAACGGTTAATATTGTTCATCAGATTTTTTTAATTTCCTTGGTTTTTAGATTCACTTGTTGATAGTTATGTATTTGTTGTTCATAATTTTTATCTTTGTTTACTTTCTCTTCTGAAAGAACCCCCTTCAGCAATTCATATAATTCTGGTTTGGTGGTGATGAACTCCTTTAGCTTTTTTTTATTAGTGAAGCTCTTTATCTGACCTTCGATTCTGAGTGATAGCTTTGCTGGGTAGATTATTTTTGGCTGAAGGTTCTTGCTATTCATCACCTTGAATATTTCTTGCCATTCCCTTCTGGCCTGCATGGTTTCTGTTGAGAAGTCAGCTGACAATCGTATAGGTGCTCCTTTATAGGTTACTACCTTCTTTGCTCTTGCTTCTTTTAATATTCTTTCTTTGTCTTTTGCTCTTGGAATTTTAATAATGATTTGTCTCGGTGTGGTCCTCTTTAGATTCCTTTTGTTTGGAGTTCTGTGTGCTTCCTGGACTTGTAAGTCTAATTCTTTCACCAGGTGGGGGAAGTTTTCTGTCACTATTTCTTTCAGTATGTTTTCGATATCTTGCTCTCTCTCATCTTCTGGGACCCCCATAATTCTGATGTTGGTTCGCTTGAAGTTGTCCCAGAGGTTTCTTACATTATCTTCAATTTTCTGGATTCTCTTGCCTTCTAGCTTCTGTGGAGGAGTGTCTTCTGGCTCTTTATGTTCCAACTCTTTTACTTGATTCTTGAGATCTTCCCTTCTGTTTTTAGGACTCTGTAAAATATTTTTTATTTCAGACAATGTATTCTTTATTTCTTGTTGATCCCTTATCATTTCTTGTTGACTCCTTATTAATTCTAGTTGATCTCTTTTCATATCCTCATAGGCCTTATCCATCTTAAATTCTTGAAAAACCTTATAAGTGTAGATTTGAACTCTATATCCAGACGCTTTTTGTCCTCCATTTCTTTCGTTTGTGATCTATTTTGTTGTCGCATTTCGCAGTTACAGATGGGGCGGGGTTTCAGGGTGGAGCCTGCAGCTTTGGCTTCCGTCAGCCCTGCCCTATGCGGGTCCTTCAGTGCTCGCTGCCAGTGCCTCTGAGAGAAAGGTGCCCTCGATTTTCGCCTGCTGCCAAGCAGTCTATGCTCTCCCCCAATGAGCCCGGTATTGGGGTTCAGTTCAGTTGGAAGTGGAGTTGGAGGTGGCGTTCAGAGCATTCTGGAGCCCCAGTCTCCTTCCCGTCAGGGCAATCCCACGGCACAGCCGACCGTCCCTTCTCTGTGTGCAGTGTGCGCGCCGCCGGGACCTCCTTTCGCCTCTCCCCGGGGTTCCACCTTACAGCCCGGCTCCCTATAGCTGAGCCTGAGTCCCCGGGGTCTGGCCTAGAACTGGGGTTCAGAGCAGTCGGGGGCCCAGCACAGTCGGAGTTTTATCTTCTTTGCGCTAGGGAATGCCCGCTAGGCACTCCGCCTCCCACCTCTCCGGCTTCGTCCTCTCCGCGCCACGTGTCTCTGTACCTTGGACTTTTCCAGCTCCTCCGCATCTCCTTCTGGTTTTCTCCTTGCTTCTCGCTGTAGAATTTCCAGTCAGTCAACCTTCCTGTAGTTCTGGGCGATGTCCATTTTATATTTTAGTTGTATTTTATTGAAATTGTTGTGTGCGGCTGCGGCTAGGTGTTCACTGGGCGCAGCCATCTTGGATCTCCCTAAAAGTATAAACTTTTTAGAAGAAAAAACAGACATAAATCGTTATGACTTTGGATTAGTCAGTAGCTTCTTAGCTATGCCACCATAAGCAACCAAGAGGGGAAAATTAAATTGGACTTCACCAGAATTTAAAACTTGCACTTCTTAGGACACCATCAAGAAAGTGAAAAGACATCCTGCAGAATAGAAGAGAATTTTGCAATAATATATTTGAAAAGGGACTTGTATACAAAATATGTAAACAATTCCTTCAACTAAACAATAAAAAGATAAGTAACCCAATTTAAAAATGGACAGAAGATTTAAATATAGTTTTTCCAAGAAGACATGTAGTTAGTCAATGAGCGTATGACATGTTCAGCATCATTAGTCATTAAGGAAATGCAGATCAAAGCTAGAAGGAAATACCACTTCATACCCACCAGGATGGCTATAAACAAAAAGTAACAGGTGTTGGCAAAGGAGAAAGTGGGATACTCATATACTGCTGGTGGAAATGTAAAATGACACAGCTGCTTTGGACATTAGTTTGACAGTACCTCAAAAAGTTAGACATAGAATTATTACAGTACCCAGCAATTTCACTTTCTGGTATATATGCAAGAGAACAGAAAAAACATTTTCACACAAAAACTTGTATAGATATGCAAATTGACCATGCCTCTAAGATGCCCACAGCCAATCAGGAGTGAGGATGCAAATGTACTCAACAAAGATGGTGGGTTAATTTGCATACACAGGTGCAGAGCAAAGACTGAAGACTAAGGAGGCTTGTCTTCTCCACTGTGGCTGAAGCAAGGCCTGGGTCCCGGGTGCCAGAGGAAAACCAGTTGACAGCCAGGGGAAGGAAGGTCTATTGCACAAATCTTCGTACAATGGGCCTCTAGTTTTTCATAATAGCCAAAATGTGAAAACAACCCAAATGTTTACCAACTAATGAATGATTAAATAAAATGAAGTCTTTCCATGCAGTAGAATATTATTTGGCCACAAAAAAGAATGAAATACTCATACATGCCACAACATGAGTGCACCTTAAAAGCATTATGTTAAGTAAAAGAAACCAAATGTGAAAAGCCATCATCTATTTTATTTTAATGAAATGTCCAGAATAGGGAAATCCATAGGAATAAGCATAATGTGATTGGCAATGGGAATTACTGTTAAAGAGTCCAAATGAAAATGTTCTGAAATTATATATTGGTTATGGTTGCACAACTTTGAATATACTAAGAACAACTAATTATTCACTTTGGAAGGGTGAATTATATCTCAATTTTTAAAAGAAACTGGATTGTTTGTAGACAAAAATTAGCCAAAAAAAAATCTTACCAGAAAATAATCTGATACAACTAAAGAAAATAATGGACAATTCGAATTCATATGAATAGGAAAATCCTATATAATAAAAGCCTAATATGCTAAGTGTCCAGTTGACAAGCTGGCTCTTCAACCAATCAAAGCATAATATGCTAATGATATGCTAAGGCCACTAAACTGCTCGCCATGATGTGCACTGACCACCAGGGGGCAGACACTCCAACCAGTAGGTTAGCTTGCTGCTGGGGTCTGGCAGATCGGGACTGAGCAAGGTGGGCCAGACACATCCTGGAGCCCTCCCACATCTGTCCCCTGACCCAGTTGTGCACTGGTGGGTCCCTCAATCCAGGACCCCTCGAGGGATATCGGAGAGCTGATTTCAGCCCGATCCCCTAGGCCAGACCAAGGGACCCCAGTGGGGCACAAATTTGTGCACCAGGCCTCTAGTCTTATTTTTAAGCAGAGTCCTGCTTTCCTTCAGAAAAGGCACTTTGTTTGTGTTAACCTATTGAAACACTAAACATAAAATCTAAAGTACTACCTTATTTTTTTTTATGGCCCAGATTACTGTCTAAAATTATCATTTTTTTATTGACTGATTTCTAAAATAAGCTTCATAAGAGGGGGGGTTGTATCCTATTCACTCTTATGTTCCTAAATCAATGTCTGACACAGCTTTTCCTAAAAACATAAGTTTGAATGAATGAATGGATCTTTCATAATCTGCCAGACATACCTCTCTGGTAAGAAAAAGTATTTCACATAGAACAACATCTCATTAAATCTTTTTATGTGTCAGACTGCTGCACTTCGAGCTGTGGGCAACATTGTTACTGGAACTGATGAGCAAACACAAGTAGTTTTGAACTGTGATGCTCTGTCACATTTCCCAGCACTCCTGACACATCCCAAAGAGAAAATTAATAAAGTAAGTATTTTTAAACACTATTTAATAAGTAATGTAAAATATCAGCAGTTTTCATTTGTAAACTTAGGGACTCAAAACTGTCTATAATATCAATGTCAACTGTCATTTAGACATCAAGAAAAGATAAAATATTTTATTCTTCCTAGCATGAATTAGTATGTAATTTTCCATAAATAAACCAGTTATAAACCGATTGGCTCTCTTGGAAATGATGAAATAAAGATAATTGGGTGTTGAATGTTGTATGACTGGAAGTTTTTAATATGTAAATTAATCTAAGTTTAATATTTTATAGGTAAATTAAGTTTAATATTTTATAGGTACTTAATAGAAAGTGTGTGTGTGCGTGCGTGTGATTGTGGAGGCTATGGAAAGGGGGCACTGACTGGTGATGCTGATATTGGAGTGCATCTGAGGCTGTTGTAGAAACATATGGGTTGTTGGTTACAACATTGCTGATGATTATGACCCAAAAACAGCTCACCTAAGTAGCCTAACACCCTAAAATCTTTAACAGGTTCATTAAATGTGTTCCTGTGATCTGATCCAAAAGAGCCTAATGCACACTAGCTAATACTAATAGTTTTTAGAATAAAACTTGTTTACTAATTTCTTAGAGAAAATGTTTTCTTTAGTAAATTGATAAATCTGTTAAGTTTGCTAAATTATGGTCATATTCTACATGGGATGTTACGTAGATATTTTGCCTTGTTTCATGCTAACTGTAGTTTCAGTGTTCATGTGTTATCTATAAAACTTGTAAAAACGTGTGAACATTTCAACCAAAGTGGCATCATTGTGGTATAAAGGGTAGCTTAAAAAGATCCTTAAGGTAGACCAATAAAGCAATCAAACATCTGGTTCTGCTTTAGCTCTTAAGAGACTTGGGGCAGAGAATTATTACAAATAAGTACATTAAAGCAACCCACTATTTCATTTTTCATGTCTCAATTATGGATAATTGAGATTTATCTACTTGGGCTAGGACTCTTGATGAGAATAGGATAGAAAATAGAGCACTTTATCTGAAAGGGATGCTGAATCTGTTCACAGTAGTTTTAGCATTTGTATTTGTGTTACAGCCTTTTGACTCTTTAGTGTTTGTTCAGCCAATATTCTTTTGGGTTTTAGTGTTTGGGAAATTGCTTTCAAGAATTCTCTAAAAGGGTTATTTAGTTCATTATGACTTTGATTGGGACCATTAGCATTTTATTGAAAGAAAATAGGAAAACGGGATAGAGAAGTTGAGATTCCTAAAATTTTTATTATGGAACTCATTCTACCTAATAAAATAGTAATACGCAAGTTAACCATCAATCTGCTACACCCACAAGCCATGCCCACCAACCAATCAGAGCGACTATGCAAATAAACCCCAACCAAGATGACTGCCACCACAGAAAGTAGGAGGAAGGCTTGGGTCTCCCTGGCAATGGAAGAAGCCATGCTTTCCATACACCCTGGCTGAACTAGGCCTCCACTCCAGACTACAAAGTTCAATTGTAGAAAATAAATATATCCCAGGTATCAGGGTCTCCGCTTGGGTCGCCGGGGGGCATGGCCGGCCTGCAAACCACCACAGGCCCCTTGCACAGTCTGCCCCACACCCCAAGGGAACCCCCACCCTGATCGGAGACCCCCTTCAGAGCAAACCAGCTGGCCTCCACCCATGCACCAGGCCTCTATCCTATCTAATAAAAGAGTAATATGCAGATTGACCACTCCAACACACAAGATCAAGATAGCTGCCCCCATGTGGTCAAAGATCCTGTCCCCATGTGGACACAAGATGGCCACCACAGATGGCCAGCAGGTGAGGGCAGTTGGGAGGGACCAGGCCTAGAAGGGAGGGCAATTGGGGGCAATCAAGCCTGCAGGGGAGGGCAGTTAGGGGTGATCAGGCCAGCAGAGGAGAGAAGTTGGGGCAAATAGGCTGGCAGGGGAGCAGTTAGACATCAATCAGGCTGGCAGAGTAGTGGTTAGGGGGTGATCAGGCTGGCAGGCAGAAATGGTTAGGGGCAATCAGGAAGGCAGGCAGGTGAGCAGTTGGGAGCCAGCAGTCCTGGATTATGAGATGGATAAATGGGCAATGGGACATCCCTTGTGGGGTTCCAGATTGGAGAGGGTGTAGGCTGGGCTGAGGAGGGAAACCCCCCCCCCCCCATGCACAAATTTCATGCACCGGGCCTCTACTTCAATAATAAAATAATTTGGACATTATAGTGAAGATGTTTTTTCTTAGTTCAGATGCAGATTTTATTTTTTTAATGAGAAATACTGAAGGGGTCTTGTTTTACAGGAAGCAGTGTGGTTCCTCTCTAACATCACGGCAGGAAATCAGCAGCAGGTTCAGGCAGTAATTGACGCCAATCTTGTCCCAATGATAATACACCTTTTGGATAAGGTAAGAAAATCATCTCGTTGTATCTGAGTAAAAGTAAAGGGATTAAATTTAACCTATGTGGCTCGATTGGGGTGTCACTGTGCACGAAGGATCATGGGTTCCACCCTGGTAGAAGCACATACCCAGGATGCATGTTTAATACCCAGTTGGGATGCATGTGGGAGGCAGCTGATTGATGCTTCTTTCTCTCTCCCTCTCTCTCTCTCTCTCTTCCTCCCTCCCTCCCTCCCTCCCTCCCTCCCCACGGTCTCTGTGTCTGTCTCTTTTCCTCCTCTCTAAAATCAGTTTTTAAAAAACTAAAAAAAAAAAATTTTTAACTACTAAATTATGTGAATGTATACTTTTCTGTTTAAGTAGAACCTATACAGTTTGCATGAATACTATCACAAAGTGGTATTAATATTAAAACTTTTAAACCCAGCAGTTTTTATATACAAGAAACATTTCTTTTTAGGAACCCTTGCTCTTTCTGTATCATTCTTTTATTAAAATTACTGTTATCCTTGGATTTGTTAAACATTCACATTATTACTACTGATTATACATGCTTAATGTATTGTGCTAAGCACTTTAAATATATTACCTCATTTAATACCATTGCTATATGAGGTTAAGAATTATCCCATTTGACAGGCGAAGAAACTATGGTTTCTTTGTCTATACTATAGATAAATAAATTGCCCAAGATCTAACTTCAAGTGTCTGATTTAATCATATGTTTGTATCATACTTCATGTTTACATTAACATTTGAGAAAGAGACTGTTTAAAATGTCACAATCAGCCCTAAGCAGTTTTGCTCAGTGGTTAGTGCATCGGCCTACAGACTCAAGGTTTGAGCATGTTGCAGGCACATCCCTGGTAGAGGGTGTGCAGGAGGCGGCTGGTTAATGTTTCTCTCTCATCAGTGTTTCTAACTCTCTGTCCCTCTCCCTTCCTCTCTATAAAAAAGTCAAGAAAATATATATTTTAGCCGGGACCGGTTTGGCTCAGCGGATAGAGCATCAGCCTGTGGACTGAAGGGTCCTGGGTTCGATTCTCCCCAGTAGGGGGTGTGCAAGAGGCAGCAGATGGATGATTCTCATTGAGGTTTCTAACTCTCTATCCCTCTCTCTTCCTCTCTCTGAAAAATCAATAAAATATATATATTTTTTTTTAATTAAAATAAAATAATGTCACAATCACAGTATGAAGATTTTTTTCTGAACACTGGTCTATAAAGAGAATATTTCTATCTTATTTTTCTCCATGTTTTCTACAAACTGGTGGTAGAAGCTATATCTTATAAACTGGTAGCTTAAGCTTAGTTTGTAAAACAAGAATCTTTATGCACTGCTCTACTTTCTAATGATTCACATCAGGAGACACATTATGTCCTGCTTCTTAGCCCATGCCAGCTGATTATTATTAAGTTAGACATCAATCTTTCACATAATGGCATTTATTGATGATCATTGCCTGGGTCCTTATTTTACTAAGAAATGCAAAATGCTTCTAATTTTGTCATTCTTTATGTATTTGCTATTCTTCAGTAAAGAACTTTTCCTTATCAACTGTAGTTTTACAGGATAACATTTTACATAGACAAGGCCAGGTAAATGCTTGATTCTTACTTATTATCACTCAACTTTTAGAATAACTTCGTTTCCTAACAACCTCAAAAGTAGACTAGGGTGGAATTTTTAATATTATTAAGAAATTATGGATATTTTTGTCCATTATAGTTCTTGCTGCCACTCAGGTTCCCTGACCAATAGGAACCTCTTAAATTTGGTGTTTGGTTTTTGTTTTATTTTTTTTACATCACCTTATAGTTTTTGAGAGCTTCTTTTTGAGTATGACATGATTCCCAGCCTTATCCTGTATATTTTCTGACCTAGACCTTGAAAGAACTATTTCTGCAGGGTGTACTGGTTCCTTTTTGTAGAGAATTGTATTTCAGGATCATAGTTCAGATACTAAGGATGATCATTGCTACTGTACAAGGTTGTTTTTGTTTCTAGCCTGAGTGAACAAAAGAGGTGATAATGTATTTTTTAGAAAGTGAAAAATATATTGTAATGTTGTGAACATGAAAATTTATAAAAAACAAATCATGAATGAAAGGAAGCTATTGGATATTGATGTCTATTTAAGATAATAGTGTTTTATTTTCACTTCTTTGTTTTTATATTCTCCTCTTCTTATTCTGGAAATCTTTCTGAAAAGATTGAGGATATATGAGGTAAAATCTATCAAAATAAAACCACACTACCATAACAACATGAATATACCATTTTTAAAATATTGGTTTGGGTTATATAAAGCATTTATGTGGTTTCCAAGTAAAAAATACATACCTTGTTTTAGTTGAAAGGGCTAACTTACATTTCTGTCCATTTCTCCTTATTCTCTCCCTTCCTTTACAGATAATAGTATTTGTTAGTTTTTGGTTTATACCTTCATTGTTTCTTCTTTAAATATAAGCAAATCTCTGTGTACATGCTCATTTTCCTACCTGCCTGAATTCCAGCATCTAGAAGCTTTCAGGAATCTGGAGAAGGCACTATGTAGAAATTAATAAGCTTTCAGGAATCTGGAGAAGGCATTTTGGGGAGCCAGAGAAGACTTTTAGTTAAAGGAACCAAGTTCTGTTGTCTCTCTGAACCCCTTGCCTTTTTTTTTTTTTTTTAATATACTTTATTGATTTTTTTACAGTGAGGAAGGGAGAGGGATAGAGAGTTAGAAACATTGATGAGAGAGAATCATCGATCAGCTGCCTTTTGCACACCCCCTACTGGGCCTACTGGGGATGTGCCCGCAACCAAGGTACATGCCCTTGACTGGAATCAAACCCGGGACCTTTCATTCCGCAGGCCACGCTGTATCCACTGAGCCAAATCGGTTTCGACTGGACCCCTTGCTTTTTATTAACACAAATTGTCCTAAGGCATGGTAGATATACACATCAAAGGCCAAAGTTTAGTATACTGAATCCATTGTCAGATTGGCCAGTGGGAGGCAATAACATATAGATTGAAATACTCTCAGCTGTCTAGCAGCAAGCAATCATTTATGCATCCTTTTCAGGTTTGGGGAAATGCCCTCAACCATTCCAGATAATTCAGCCTGCTGACATGATGGAATTAGCTGCAGGCACCTACCATTCCTTTTTTTCTTCTTGCATTGCTTTTTTAAAAAATACTTCTTTTGAAATATTATCCTGGAGATCACTCCCATTACATGAGCTTTCTTATTCTTTTTTCTTATTTTTGTTGAAGTTACATAGTACTCCAGTGTATATATGGATGTGCTATAATGTATTCAACTTATTTTATTTTTGAGATGTTTTGCTATTAAATAGTATTTTAAAAAGGAATTTGTAATTTTTGTGTGTGGGGAGGGTTTTTTTTTTTTTTCCACTCCTACTAACAAATATTTGGAGTTAAACAATCTAATAAATAAGGGTAGATATCCACTGCAGTTTAAATTTTCAATCCTCTTATTCCTCTTATTGATATGTATTTTTCTTAATACATCATAAACATTCTTCCAGGTTGCTAGCCTTCTTAAAATTTAATAACTGGTTATTATTTCATTAAGTAGATTTACTATAATTATTCCCCTGTTGAAAATTTGAGTTGCTTTTACTTTTTCTTTTTTTTTTAATATATTTTTATTGATTTCCCAGAGCAAGGGAGAAGGATAGAGAGATAGCAACATCAGTGATGAGAGAATCATTGATCGGCTGCCTTCTGCATGCCCCCTACTGGGGATCCAGCCCACAATCCAGGCATCTGCCCTTGACTGTAATCAAACCCAAGACCCTTTAATCCACAGGCCAACACTCTAGCCACTGAACCAAACTGGCTAGAGCTACTTTTACTTTTTTTAACTGTTACGTGCTGCTAAAACAATATAGAGATAGATACATAATATCTATTATAATATCTTGTTTTAAATTATTTTCTTGGTAAATTATTAAAAGTGAGATTACTAACTCACATGACAAATAATTTTTAACTATATTTTTCAATTTATATTTGAAAGGAAATATATGATAGTAATGTTTTCACCACAATCTTATAATGGTGGGCATTATAATTTCTAAAACTTACATGTTTAAAAGGATATTTTCTTTTAATTTGACATTTCTTTAATTAAACTGTACATTTTTCTGAGGTGTTTTTTTTTTTTTTACCATTTTATCCTTCACTTTATTTAATCTGATATTATTGAACAATAATACATACATATCAAGTCATAACAAGTCTTCATATGTTTAGGGTAAATTGGGTTCTAAGGCATATTTTAACAAGTAAAAATGATGTGCCTATAGAAAGGCCAGCAGTAAACCTGGGGAAATATTTAGCAGTTGAAAAATCAGATAAATCTGTTAAATTCGCTGAATTATAGTCATATTTTACATAGTCATATTCTACATTGTGTAAGGGTTGAGCAGAAAAGAGAAGGGTTGTGGAAGGGTTGAGCAAAAAAGAGAAAAACACTCATGAACACGAATAACTGTGGTGATGGTGATGTGTATTAGAGGAAGGTATGGGGGGATAAATGGTGATGGACGGAGACTTGACTTGGAGCAGTGAACACAATACAGTGAACACATGATAGTTGTGGCATTGTGCATTTGAAACCTGTATAATTTAGTTAACTAGTATTACCCCAATAAATCCATTAAAAGATGGGGAAAAGAAAGCTCATTTCAGAAAACATTTTTTCCATTTTACTTTGTATTTCATTTTGTATCCTTTGCTTTGCTTTTGCAGGGGGATTTTGGCACTCAGAAAGAAGCTGCTTGGGCCATAAGTAACTTAACAATTAGTGGAAGGAAAGATCAGGTAAGTTCAGCTTTTATTTATTTCTTAGTGGATAGGCTGTCTGCCTGCAGACGGAAGAGTCCCAGGTTCAGTTCTGGTCAAGGGCATGTGCATGAAGCAACTTTGGTTGCAGGCTCCTTCCAGGCCCAGGTCAGGGTTCGTGCATGAGGCAACCTATCAGTGTGTTTCTCACACCGATGTTTTGTCTCGCCCTCTCCCTTCCACTCTAAAAATCAATAGAAAAATATCCTCGGGTGAGGATTAACAAAAAAATCATAATTTAAAATAGTAGAAAGATAACATTCTGTGATAGGGGTGGGTGGGTTTGTGTGTGTATTGGCTTCCTTTAGTTATAATTCTTAGATGAGAAGTGTTCTCTTTCCAACTCCTGGCCTACAATTCTACTTCCTTCTAATTTACAGTAAGATCAGAGCACTTCTAGTCAGGGTTGGGTTGGTGTTTTTTGTTTGTTGTGGAGTTTTTTTGGCTCTTTAACAATATTAAGCCAGATGACTTCAGGTGAATTGGGCAGAATGAAACTGCCTCACAGATTCTAACAAATGAAAAACAAAAATTTACAGCATCTAAATACTCAACCAAAAAAGGTTGGGAGTACAAACTAGAGTTAGGAATGTGAGGTCCTTAGGGCATAAAATTTAGAAAGGCGTGCACTCTGATTGTGCAGGCATCACAGCTAAACATTGTGCCACGTAACAAAAGAAAATGGGTTTTAAAGGTCCCAGATATGTTTCATAGATCATTAAAAAAAAATTTTTTTTTTTAATATATTTTATTGATATTTCATGGAGAGGAGGAAGGGAGAGAGATAGAGAGCTAGAAACGTCAATGTGAGAGAAACATCGACTAGCTGCCTCTTGCACACCCCCTACTGGGGTTGTGTCCGCAACCAATGTACATGCCCTTGACCGGAATCGAACCTGGGACCTTTCATATCCGCAGACGGATGCTCTACCACTGAGCCAAACCAGCTTTGGCTCATAGATCATTTTAAAGGGTGAATTTGGATCTGATAAGCAATAAACTGATAGTTACCACAAATAAGCTATAGACTGATGGTGAGCAGTGAATCCACTTAAATAGGAATGCATAGCAGAAGATAAAAATTCATATAGTCTAGCTGGTGTGGCTCAGTGGTTGAACTTCGACCTATGAATCAGGAGGTCACTGTTCTGTCCCTGGTCAGGGCACATACCTGGGTTGTGGGCTTGTCCCCAGTAGGTGGTGTGCAAGAGGCTAGTTCTCTCTCCTCCCTTCCTCTCTGAAATTAATATAAAAATTTTTAATTTAAAAATGCATGTAAATAATAGCTAACTATATAGAAATGATAGGAAAGTATTTTGAAAATATTACAGAACCAATAGAATAGTGAATAGAAGGTGGCCACGGATATGAGGATGCCAAATATAACAGTAAAGAGCCAAATGGATGCTCTCACGTTGAACAGTTGAAGTTCTTTAAAAAATATTCAGACTCTTAACTAATATTTTAATTTCTTAATCTCAAAGGGGAAAGTATCTTTGAAAAAAGTGTTTCTTATGCCAAAGAAATGTTTCACTTTATTTTTAAGAAAAATAAACTTATTATATAAAAAAGAAAAGGAAATTTGATTAATGTAGTCTAACAATATGTAAGAGATTAGGTCATACTCAAAATTTTACTTCAATGAGATAGTGTACACAAATAAAGTTCAGTTATGCTTAATATATCATGGTGTCTTTATTCTTCAGGTGGCATGCCTAATTCAACAAAATGTTATTCCACCTTTTTGCAACTTGCTGACTGTAAAAGATGCACAAGTTGTGCAAGTAGTGCTCGATGGACTAAGTAATATATTAAAAATGGCTGAAGATGAGGCAGAAACCATAGCCAATCTTATAGAAGAATGTGGAGGTAAGTTTACTATAAGCTATTATTACGCATTTTAATATTCTTTTTGTAACTGTTTATTTTCTGACTAGTAAAGTACTCCTGTATTTTTCTGTCTTAGATAATTAAGTAACAGAATAAAATAAATAACGTTAAATGTGTTCTATATGTACAGTCCTGCTCAGCTTCTTGCATATTCTTAGGTAACTGAATTGCTGCCATATATTGAACAGGCATTGTACTAAGGTACTTGGAAGATAGTGGTAAACAAGACACAGTTTTTGTCCTCAAGGCATGTAGTCTAGTATGGAGATAAATATAAACTGATTTAATGTGCTAATTACCCTAATAGAAATGTACAGCAAAATGAAATACCTAATTCATCCTGGAAGAAGCAGGAAGTCACACCTGAGCTGGATTTTGAGAGATGAATAAGGATTAATAAAGTAAAAAGGGATGAAAGGTGTTCCAGGCAGAAATAACACCATGAGCAAAGTCTGAGGTGAGAAATAGCATTCAGCAAATTATAAGTAATTCAGTGTTGCTGAATCACAAAGTATGGGGTAGAAACTGCCAAAAGATGAAGCTGAGACCTGGCAAATAAGCAGGTTCCTATAATTTCATAAGCTTTTGTAGCACACTAAATAACTTTATTCTAATTTTGTAGGGCAGTAGTTCCCAAATCCGGCTGTGTATCAGCCATCTGGATTGTAAACAGCCCATCTTAGCTTTCAACTCTTAGAATTAACAAGTACACAGAACATGGAAGTTTCAAATGTGGCTGTGGAACAAAGTGTAAATGTTAACCTGGATAGGCATAAAAGTAAAGGTATTTCTGACAGAAGTTGAGAAGTAAATAAAGAACGGTGATAACAGGAGAACTACTTCAACTTAGTAAAGAAATGCAGAGGCTTGAAAATTAACTAAGATTAATATTTTTAAAGTTACTAAAGTGACAAATAGAATAACAAAGAAAATAATGCATAACTATCAAGTTAGGAACAGAAGATGGGAAATAGTGTTAGGGAACTAATTGGAAAGTAAATACCAGAAAAATTAAAAATGGGCATAGTAGGAAAGTATTAGTAATTAGGCCATAACAAATGATGGCCCACTAAGTGAATATAGAAACAAAGGGGAGTCTGCAAAATTTAAGAAATGGAGGCTTTTAAGATTTGATTGTAGAATATTGAGGAAAAGAGAACTTAGGCTTTCTCTTAGATTTCAAACTGTTATCACCAAGTAATACATTAGAACAGTTTATATGAATAAAGGCAAATAACAAGTTATGTTTTGGACAGTTCAAGTTTTAGGTAACTGTGAAATGTCCTGGTGGAATTATATCATGACGGCATTTAAATTTTATGAATGAGGATTTACAGATCCTCAGCCTATATTAGTAGCCAAATTTTTTAATGGGAGGGCCTCCTAAGGAAAATGTAGAATGGAAAATGAGCCCAAAACAGCTATTACCATTTAAGAAAATAGAGGAAGAACAGTCATGAAAGGGCAATTTCATTATTTTTCAGATACCTTGAAATTACTACTCCTAAAAAGCAAAATAAGGCCTAATTTGCATAGCAACAGGTTAAATTTATGTATTTTTAATGTTTCTACCTATGATTTAGCAAACTCACTAATGTTTACAGGGCAAATTTCATTTTTCCCTGAAATACTATGGTTGATCTTGTTATAATTAACAGGTGTCTTAACATTTATTTATTAATCACCAGTATAGTAAATTTTTTTCATATATACTCACTAGAAAAACTTGGCAGATGCTAGAAAGCAATTTGACGAAACAAAAGCAATTTTACATGTTATTGCTCCATATAAACATTGTGATTATATAATATTCTTCTGAATAGGTAGATGTCCCATTGCTTAATCATTTATATGCATTTATACACTCTGCTTGTTGATTTTTTAAGATAAACATGCAATATCTTTGTGCATAAAATCTTTTTATTTTTTAAGATTCACCCTTATGAGGACAGTGGGGGTGGGAGGGTGGGACGGGGGAGGTAAGGGCAAAGGGTAGGGTGGAGACCAGATAGAGAGGTGCTATGGGGGGGGGGGGGAACAATTGTAATAATCTGAACAATAAAGATTTATTAAGATTTAAAAAAAAAAAAAAAAAAGATTCACCCTTAGAATAGGTTCCCAAAAATTGTAGATTTGTATTTCAATAATTGGATATGTGTTCCAAGATTATTATAACTTTTTTTGTCAGTACTTTTTAGGTATTACTCTATTTTACTTTATAAAATCTTTTGCAGGACTGGAGAAAATTGAACAACTGCAAAATCATGAAAATGAAGACATCTACAAGTTGGCCTATGAGATCATTGATCAGTTCTTCTCTACAGATGATGTATTTAATAACTTTATAGTTTTCTTAATATATGTCTATATGAAATAATATATTAAGCTAGGACATGAATATATATATTTAAGGGGAATGGAATTAAAATAGGTATATGGCAGTAATATCACTTGTTTCAAAAACAATTATTTCAATATTTCAAAGTCCCTCGGGGCATTAAAAAATAGTATTAGCTCTGATAGCAGAAAAGATAGGCATAGTTTCTTGACACTGGACAAGTCAAGCTTTATTTTTCACTTGATGTCTTTATAGTTCTCGTATTTTATATTTTAATAGCATAACATGTTTATAAAACAAAACAGTGATAGTAGATGTCCTGTAATAAATTCTTCATGACAATATTTAGTTAATCCACTTTTGACTATATTCTGTTACTTTTAGTTGATGACCCAAAACAAATATGAAGTTAGGTAGATAAGTTGAAAAAATAAATCATCAAAAAAGATGTTTCCATATATTGTGAAGTATAATATACAAAAGTATCTTATGTGGTAATGGAAATTAAATTATGAAATTAATTTTTAGTACTGCCTCTGGAAAAGTAAGCCTAAATTAAAAGCAGTTGTTCCTTAGAAAATTATAATGGTTAGATACCACCACCAGTGAATTTCTTGAATGATTTTCTCAACATTTTAATGAATTAGTCTTATACACAAACTTTTCCACATTATTAAGAGTAGAATATTATTAAACTTTTTTTTAATTCCTCATCCAAGGATATTTTTTATTGACTTAAGAGAGAAACATCAATCAATCAGTTTTCTCCTGTATGCATCCAGACCAGGGATTGAACCCACAATTGAGTATGTGATCTGATTGGGAATCATACTGCAACCTTTTGGTGATGGTGCTCCAACCAACCTAAACATTTTGTTAAGCATGTATTACTCAAACACAATCTGGCAAAAGACAAAACCAGTCATGCACCACATAACATTTTAGTCAAGAATGGATCATGCAAATAATGGTGTTCCATAATATTAGAATGATGGAGCTGAAAACTTCTTATTGCCTAGTGATGTCATGTACATCACAGTGTCAAACCCCAGTGATTACTCATGTGAACCTGGTGTAGCAAAAACCTGCTGCCAGTCATACAGACGTTTAGCATTACAATGACAGTGATGGACAATATGTACAATCTAATTGTGTAAGTACACTCTAACAGTGCATTTCTAAGAATGTATCCCCTTTATCTCAGTGGATAGAGCGTCGGCCTGTGAACTGAAAGGTCCCAGGTTCAATTCCGGTCAAGGGCATGTACCTTGGTTGCGGGCACATCCCCAGTTGGAGGTGTGCAAGGGGCAGCTGATCGATGATTCTCTCTCATCGATGTTTCTAACTCTCTATCCCTCTCTCTTCCATTCTGTAAAAAATCAATAAAATATATTTAAAAAAAAAAAAAAAAAAAAAAAAAAAAAATGTATCCCCATCGTTAATGCAGCTCATGACTACCAGAAAAAAAAGTTGCCGATTCTACTTAATGGAGATTAAACCATTTAGATATAAAGTCCTTTAGATGATCAAGTCCTATTTAGAATATAATACCAGTTTAAATAAATCAGACATAAAATCCAGAAAAAGCATATTCTTTTAAGGGTAGCTTTTATCACATGTCTTTAAAGTTGGATTCTTGGAAGTCCTAATTTGCAAGTAGATATACACAAGGCCTTATGATTTTTAATACCTCAACATGCAGTTTTTGTTATTCTCTTACATTGTGAAAATAATTCAGGGCGTGTGTACATTTATAGGAACTTTCACTGGCTCATAATTTTATAAAAGATGTGGTATTTTATAAAAGAACCTTTAGATATAAAGCATATAGAACATTATTAGTTAATAGCTATTATAATATTTTACTATTTTAAGCCCAAATGTCATTTCTCTCCCAGCTGGAGTGGCTCAGTTGATTGGAGCTTTATCCTGTGCACCAAAAGGTTGACAGTTTGATTCCTGGTCAGGGCACACACCTGGGTTACAGGTTTGATCCCCAGTCAGAGTGCATACAGAAAGCAACATCAATATTTCTCATCTTTTCCTCTCTCTCTTTCCTCTTCTTCTCTCCCTCTCCCTTCCACTCTCTAAGCATGTCTTCAGGTGATGATTAAAAACAAAAGAAACAAAAATTAATCAAAGACTACACTTATTTTAAAATTGGTGGCATTAATTCTTTAATGTCATCTTTTATCTATTTGCCCAGGTACAAGGGAAATTATAGTGAGTATCCTCTCAGTTTAAAATGTATGACCATCTCCAACTTATTACTTATATTTCATTCTTTTAGAAGATATTTATCTTGCATATTCTCAATTTCTTCTCATTTTGGCATCCTTAAGAAAAAGTCTTTACAAAATGTTTCAGTTTTCTAAAAGGGATGATAGGATAATGTTGACACATTATCTCTCTCATACTTTTTAAAGGGAAATGGGAATATTACTATAATGCTATTTATATATACTTTTAAACTAATCATCCTTTTTTCTTTTTTCTCTTAGATTGATGAAGATGCTAGCCTTGTTCCAGAGGCAATACAAGGTGGAACATTTGGTTTCAATTCATCTGCCAATGTACCAACAGAAGGGTTCCAGTTTTAGAAAGATAATATGGAAGTTAGGTACAATGCAGCACTGAGATATATATATATATATATATATACATATATATAAAAAGGTTTGATCCATCAAGCTTGGCTCATGGGATCTACTGCTGCATTAAATCGGGAAAGAAAATGTGAAGATTTCATTTGGAATCACAGAAAATGCCCAAATGAGGTCAAGATGGCGAGTGGGTGCGAGTGAGAATGAGTGGCAAAGTGTAATGAAAACTTTACATGAATGCTTATTTAGGTTGATGAAAGTGAAAAGGGCTACAGGTCACAGATCTTCAGTGCCTGAGAAGAAACATTCAATGTTGACTTACTCTACATCAATTGAGGGAGAGTGCAGTATTGTCATCTTCAAGCCTTGTAAGCATAAAAGAGAATAGGATGCCCATATAAGTCAAAGGAAAATGAGCCCAGGCCTTGCTATGAAGCAGTGTGTGAATGGACAGTGTTGAGTGAATGTCTGGCTCTGAGAGAGCCAGGTTCATCTTTCAAATCTAGGGCTCTTCACTCATGAAGCAGACTCCTAGTCCTGGAGTGACTGTGTATGAGAGTGTGGTTGTGGTGCTGGATGTGAACGCATGCAAGCTTGATTCGCCTTCAGGGGGCTGATAACAAACCTAGTAAATCATCAAAATGAGATCATAAGTGTTATGTACACTGGACATGAAAACAAAAGACCGGTTTAGCAGCAGACATTGGTTTACTCTGCAGCCTGTGTTTTCTATTTCCCCTTTTCCCCCACCCCCTCCTTTTTTTTTTTTCTTTCTTTTTTTTTTTTTCCTTTTTTTTTCTTTATTCTTACTCTTTTTTTTCTTTTTTTCTTTCTTTTTTTTTAGGTTTTTTTTTTTTTCTTTTATTTTGGGGGATTTTTTTTTTTTTTTTTTTTTTGTGGGTTTTTGTTTTGTTTTTTTAATTTACCTAGTATAGCTTTTTAGTTGCTTCTCAAGTCAGAAAACTTTTCAGGAAGGTTTCCCTGTGCATTTGCACCAGATGAATGTTTGATGCTATGAAAAGCTTTCCATATCATCGGAACTAATTTGTGTAGATTTTTGCATGGAAAAAAATCAAATTTCCCTCAAAATAGACTGTGTTGCAGTACACATGTTGCCATAATAGTATAAACAGTAAAATGCGCTTTAAAAAGCCATCCTTTTCATTTTCAGAAATAACATAAAGATCTTTGCATGAGGTAAATCTACAACATAGTTTATTTTTAGATTTTGTTAAGTCCTGTAAAGAAGAAGAAAAAAGTTTCAGTTGTAGTAGAATACCGTGCTGTGTTTAAATGTTATTTGTTTTCAAACTTTGTTTTCTATGAAAATGATATGGAAACTTCTAAAATCGAATTTGGTGCATATGTACTGCTGAATAAAGACTGATGAAGAGGTTTGAATAGATGTACAAATCAAGTAATGGTTTGAACACCTTTAATAATATGCCTAATCTGTTCAATTGTTTTAGAATCTTTTTATCTTAGATGTAGGCAGCCATGAACAATCTATTTTGAGCCACTTTAGGGAGAAAACTTTGTATTTTTAAAACTTGCATAAGAGTTATGCAAGTGGTTTTTATAAATTGGAATAATACCTCAGTTTTGAGGTTATGCACACTAAATTAAATGTGACATAAATTAATTTGTACAAAAAGAACTCTTTATAAGGTGGCTCATTGTAGGAAATCCTGTGCCTTCCCCTTTGAGCACAAGTGTTGCATGAACAACAGTTTGCTATAAGAAACATACCAGATTAGCCACCATTAGCATCTATATCTACTTTGTGTTTAAGAATCAACTGGTAAATCTGAAACACTGTAGAATGGATAAAAATTATTTTGTGATCATAACTCTTTGTTGAACTAGAGTATTTTTGCAGCATTCCTTGTCATCAGAAACATGGTTAAAGTTTAAAACTAGAAGCAGCAGAAAACTAGCTTGTAAAATTTATCCAAGTAGAGTGCAGGCTAGGCTGTGTTGGGGAAATAAACATTAAACTTAAGCAATGTTTTACATGGGGTGTGTTGTTTGCTGTGTGGATTTTTTTATACACAATGTAAAGTTAGAGTATAACTCAATGTATTATTCTAGCTTGTCTTTCTAAATAAGCTTTTGACCTATAACCAACATAACATATCTCTTCAGTTCTATAATTTCAATATAAACATTAATATTTTAATCCACTGAATTTGTTCAGGTGACACCGTCTGTAATTCTGCTTTCTCCCTATCCAAATCAAAGTTTTGACCTTTCTTTATTCTTCCAGCAAAATCGACTGAGAGACATAAGCTATATTTTAACTATTACTATAACTTCAACATATAGTTTTTTGTTTTTTGTTTTTTAATATATTTTGTTGATTTTTTACAGAGAGGAAGAGAGAGGGACAGAGAGCGAGAAACATCGACTAGCTGCCTCCTGCACACACCCCACCAGGGATGTACCCGCAATCAATGTACATGCCCTTGACCGGAATCGAACCTAGGACCCCTCAGTCCGCAGACCGATGCTCTATCCACTGAGCCAAACCAGTTTCGGCTCAACATACAGTTCTTAATGATAGATTGCGTATAAAGCATTGTTTTTATAGAAGGTTCAAGTTATCACAAGGTGAACATAACAATACATGATTCATGTTTCTTAGCAATAAAAAATTTTGTTCAAAGTAAGCTGATGAGGTTATAGTAGGTCAAATGATTTTATAGAATAGTTATCCTTTATACATACACTAGAGGCCTGATGCATGAAATTCATACAAGAGTAGGCCTTCCTTCCCCCAGCTGCCAGCACTGGCTTCCCTTGTAGCCCTGGCTTTGCCTGGAAGGTTGTCCAAGCTAATTAGCATATAGTATAGCTACTAATTGTAGGTGATATTAATGTCTCTTGAGTATAAGGGCTACCTGATGGTCTAAATATTTCCTTTCTACCCAGTGTCCATGGTCTCATACAGGACCTTGATATTCTAATACAAGGGTGGGGAACCGTTTAGATATTTGTAATATTATTTGGGGGCCATACAAAGTTATCCCCTTAAAAATTAGCCTGCTATATTTGGTCAACCTTTTAATTAACTCATCCCTAATGCCTTGGTAGGGCCAGGCCAAATGATTTCAAGGGCCTTCTATGTCCCTGGGGCTGGTTGTTCCCCACCCCTGTTCTAATAGAATTCTAGGAAGGATTTCACCATGTGAGAAATTTGTTTCAGCACAGTTAACTCACCACAGCCAGTGATGTAGGAAACAACATAGAACATTATTTGTGATGAAGGGGGAAATGAAATAAGCCTTTAGTAAGCTAATTGTTCTTGGCTGCTTGTGTTTAAACTGCCTTTTTGGAGTATTGAACACTTTCAAGTGCTATAAAAATATGAATGACAGTAAGAGTAGCTATGGTCTAAATTTAATTTTCAAGTTTTTTCCCCTTTCTATTGTGTCATGATGGATTTAGTACTTTCCACATTACTCTGAACCAGACCCAGAGTATTCCTATAATTGAAGCTCATGACTATTAAAAATATATCTGGATGATTTTTTAATACTTAGTTTCAGCTTACTTTAGTAACTGAAATTTACAGATTTATTTTTTGTAAAGTGATTGGGTTTATTATACTAGAGGCCTGTTGCAGGAACATTCCTGCAATAGGGCTTCCTGCTGCAGTCTCTGCTGCCCTGCCTGTTTCCCTCCCTTCTCCCCTGCCCCAATTGCTTGCTTCTCTGTAGCTTCACTCCCTTCTGCAGCGCTTGGCTTCTTCCTATGCTGTCTCAGTCTTCGTTTTTTTTGGCCTGAGTATGCAAGTTAACCGCCACATTGGTTTGATTAATTTGCATATCATCCTGATTGGCTGGTGGGTATAGTGATGGTACAGTCAATTTGCATGTTTCTCTTTTATTAGGATAATTTAATTTCTAGAACCCTATTTGGGTTCTCCATGGCCTCAGTTTCCTTAGGAAGAGAGAAATTAAGCTAAGCTTTGGCTTTAAGAAATTATATATTTCCTGTTGCTGTATACCAGATTACCATGAACTTAGAATTTAAGACAACATATTATTTAACAGTTTCTGTGGGTCAAGAGTCCAGGTGCAGCTTAGCTCAGGCTCTCACAGGCTACAGTCAAGGTTTCATCTGAAGCTGGTCCGTTTTCATACTTCTGTTGCAGAATCCATTTCCTTGCAGCTCTAGAATTCATGGCTGTTTGCTTCAAGGCCTGCAGGAGAAATCTGATTTCGGAGAAAGTCCTAAGCCTGCTTTTAAAGGATTCGCATGAATCAGGCCCACCTGTTACGTTAGTTCCCGAATTACACTGCAAAGTCACTTCCCTGTGCTGTAGCTTTATCTCAGGGTGATATACATTACATTCACAGATCCTGCCCACACTTGAGGGAAGGGGATTAAAAAGATCATGTACATCAAGAAATCTTGGGAATCATAAGAGTTCTGCCAACCACAAGGTAATAACAATATTTAGATCTGGAGCAATTTTGAGTGATTAGCTAATTATAAGTTTACCTTCAGATCAAGGTCACCTGTGTGAATCTTAAGAAAATTGGATCAGCTCCTACCCCTTTCACCTCCATGCATATATGTATAGTTTTAGAGAATCTGTTGGGGTCCATGAATTTCAGAGCATGAATGAATGATCTGTACTAACCTCCCCTTCAGATGAGAGGTGATTAATTACTAAGGGTCAGATAAGACCCAGGTCTCAACTCCCATACCATTGGAAGCTGTGCCTCCAGTTATTGGTCTAAAATACACTTAAATTTGTGAACCAAGGCAAACTGTTTACACAGCATTTTCAACACATAAGTCTTTAAATCAAATCAAGGTGCATATTGATATTGTAATCTAAATCCCTAAATTAAATGAAGACGAATGGCATTCCTGTGTGATCAGAAGCAACAGGGGACTGTATTGCCAATTAGCACATCAATAATGTACAGGGAGGGTAAATTAAATATTTTCCCCTAGCAGTTCCGTTAATTTTTAATATGCTTTTAAATTCGGGCCCTTTAGGTGACAAATTTGGGTCAGGATGTCCATTTCAAGCTCTGCTGTTTATAAAATGGATTTGACAGTTGCTGCTTTGTTCCCTATCTCCATGAGTGTCCACTCCCCTCACTCTACAGCTCTTCAAATTGGTTCTTGCATCCTTTCACTTATTTCCATTTTTATTAGTCAAACCATCTTTTCTTGAAACATTGCAAAAATGTGAAAATGGTCTCCCTCAGCCACTCTGCCCCGCTTCCAAACTAACTGCATTGAAAACAGAATGAGGTAACTAAAAATCAAATCTTGAGTGTCCATCATTGTTAACTTGGACACTTCATACTTTCTCACTGCTCTTAGAATAAAAACCAACATTTTTTTTTTTTTTAATCCTCACCCAAGGACATTCTTAGGGAGGGAGGGAGAGAGAGAAACCATTTTGCCTTCTGTACATGCCCCTAATGGGGATCGAACCCACAGCCCAGGTATGTGCCTTGATCAGGAATCGAACTGGCAACCTTTTGATTCATGGGATGTTCAACCAACAGAGCCACGCCAGCCAGGCAAAACCACCCATTTTATTCAAGTCATTGGGAATTTTAAGCATGTGCAAAACTAGAATAAAATAATGAATTCTCATGTATTAATCACCATTTTCAACCATCATCAACATATGGTCAATCTTTTTTTTATTTTTTTTTTTTTATTTCTGACCCACCCACCTTTCCTACTTCTCTGGGATATTTAGAAGCAAATCCTAGATATTATGTACGTCTTAAAAATTGATTTTAGCCGAAGCTGGTTTGGCTCAGTGGTAGAGCGTCGGTCTACGGACTGTAAGGTCCCAGGTTTGATTCCGGTCAAGGGCATGTAGATTGGTTGCGGGCACATCCCCGGTAGGGGGTGTGCAAGAGGCAGCTGGTTGATGTTTCTCTATCATTGACATTTCTAGCTCTCTCCCTTCCTCTCTGTAAAAAAAATCAATAAAATATATTTTTTAAAAATTGATTTTATTTTATTCTTTTAGGTTCTATTATCACCTCTTTAAAAAACTGACACTTCTTTAATAGCATGTTATCTAGTTCATGTTCAAATTCCTTTATTTAAGCCAAAATCATTATGGCCATGACCTATTTTCTGGTCCAAAGTTCTTTCAACTGGTGAATGGAATAAACAGGTATAACCATCAACAAAAGGTTTTAGTGATCAATAAAAAGAAACTAATACACATGACAGCATGAATGAACTTCAAATACACTATGCCTGGTGAAAGCTAGAATCATATAAATCAATCAAAAAAATCACCATCTGATTCGTATTATATGACAATCTGGAATAGTCAAAACCATGGAGTTTCAAGTCAAAGGGTGAGCAGGCCTGCCTTTGCAGCATCAGACCAGTGGCTAGAGTGTACTGGAAATGGTATTACAGTGCTGGGGGTTCTATCAACAGGTTCCTGCAAGATGATAAGGATGATTATGATGATGTGAAAGCAGCCATAAGAAGGCTTCCTGAGAACTTGAACAACAATGATGTTTCGCATTAAGAGAGCACTGGTCCTGTCCACGAGACAGCAGATCTTACCTAAAGAGCAAAGGACAAGCCCGAGCCAGTTTGGCTCAGTGGATAGAGCATCAGCCTGCAGACCAACGGACCCGGGTTTGATTCCAGTCAAGGGCATGTACCTTGATTGCAGGCACCTCCCCAGCCCCGGCCCTGGTCAGGGCTCCTGCAAGAGGCAACCAGTAAGTGTGTTTCTCTTCTTTCCCCCTCTCTCTAAAAATGAATGGGAAAATGTCCTCGGGTGAGGATTAATTTTTTTTTTAATTGTCGACAAAATAGGAGGAGGTGGATAATTGTACCTTGAACCATATTCTGGAAAGTAAAAAATGGGAAGAATGGGCAAAGAACCATGTAATTAAAATCTGTGGAGGCATCTGTCCTCGGTATTTTAATGATGCTGTTTAAACCCCAAATATACAATTTAGAACCATCTGGGCTGCAAACATACAAATCAGATTCTCCAT